CTTTTTGGCGATTGCTTTCTTCGAACAGTCTCTTCGTTGACAGTAAAGTTATTAGCATTAAGAGTTTGGACTTAGGGAAACTGCTCATAGTAGATAAATCTCTACCAATTCGACCACAGAGCAAAACCCTCTTAAACGCTATTCCTGGTTTGGCCACAATTTTATCCGTTCGACTATCACTTTTTTCACTTAACGTTGTTATAATATATAGTAAGTGACCCACATTTGACCGATTTTGTTGCGATTCAACAGCATTTCGAAGATGGAAAATATAGATTTACATATTTTTGCGTTAACTGGTCTATATATCGAGCTTATTTCTCTATCCAACCTCATTTAATGCTGCAATATTGAACTACTATTAACAAATAAAATAAATAATGAAATTTTTACTCGTTTTTCTGGCCAGTAAAAATGTATAAATCTTGCGAGTAATATCAGTTAACAATTTAAAGTTAAAGGTAATATGGATAAATTAATGTCCTTACTAAAAATTTTTGCTAATGTGCTTAGTCTTAATTTCATAACCTTACTCATCGATACTTGATTTAATTACAAGAAAGAACGTGTGACGGAAATTCGTTTATCTAGCTAATTCTTCAAGCAACACAAATTGCTAATACACATAAATAAATTTTGGGCAAATTGTTGGGAATACATCAATTTCAGTCTTACTTTGAGTCACATATCAATCAATATACCGCTGAAATAAACCACCTGTTCGAGTTGATTGACTACGAGAAATATTTCCTTAAATCTAATTGCTACAATAGCATTACGTCCACAGCACATTTAACCGTTATATGAGCTCATAAAGATATGATTGATGGTAATTCCACATAATTCCGCAAGTGAAGTGAACTATGATGCATATGTAGGTGCACACGTCAGCTAAGTAAGGAATTGTGCCAAAGTGATTAGTTGCCAATTCGCAAAATTTTATCGAAAAATGTTTGAGGATCTGGCGAATATTTGAAAATTCTAATACCGACGTTCAAGTGCTTTTGAATAGTTTTCTTCCACTTAGGTGCTTCTAAGAAATGTGACAATTAAATGAATGCGTATTTCTATATACATAAGTACGTGTTTATATATGTGTATATATGTATAAATATGTATCCATATATGAGAAATTTATATGACATGATGTCAATTGGTGTATTTAAATTAAATGTAAGCAGTTCACATGAATGAAATAAGTAATATAAAATATTTTATGAGCAATAAATATATACATACATACGAATATGTACATATGTACATGAATATGTGTAAAATAAAAATCAAAAAAGAAACAATTGAAATTCGACTGCACCCAAGCTATAATACCCTCTACAGGTGCACCTGCTATAGCATAAAAGGGTGTAAAAAGATCTTTATATTAATATTGGTAGGTCACTTTGTATGACAGCTATATACAGCTATGTACTTATATGCTATAGTAGTCTGTTCACAACAATAGGCCATACAAGCACTTGATTTTGATCCATCACTTTGTAAAACAGCTATGTTAATGCTATAATGCTCTGATACTGGCGTTTCCGACAAATAAGCAGCTTCCTGCGGAGAAAAGAACGTCCGAAAATTTTCAGGTCAAAATCTCAAACAAACCTAATGTGACAAACTTAATATCACATGTTCAGGGTATAACAATATAGAGAAAAAACCCACAATGTATGTAATTAAAAATCCTATAAGATCGTGTGTATATTTTTAAATTGGAATATTCCAACGTGAGCGCAAACGGCACAACCACAGTTATTTACTTAAAGAACTGACGTGACGTTGGCTGTGGATTGCTTGATCTTTGATGGATAGCAATGAAAGCAGAACTCAATGAAAATGAAAGTGTTTTTTTTTTTTTTTTTTTTTTTTTTTTTTTTTTTTATTATTATTATTATATAAAGCGTGATTCTTTTCGAGGTTTCCTACTTTTTTAAGGAAAGAACACAGAAACCTCAAATCTGATGGGGAATGCTTATTATCATTCGAAAGAACATTCTTTGGCATGTATTTTTTTAAGGTTATCTCTTACAAATGTTGGCCGCGACTAGGTCTCAGGTGATCCATTCGACGATTGCTATTTTCAATGACTTTTTGGAGCATTTCGACTGGTAACTGGCGCATGATATGACGATGATTTGTTCCAAGGCCTGAATCGAAGTGAGTTTGTCCCCATAAACTTTAGACTTTACATACTAAAACCACAGCAAAGACTTTAACGGTGACATAACACGATTTGGTGCATATGGGCTGTATGTATGTGTGTATATACACATTTTTTTAATAACAAGAATTTTAAATTTGAAAAAAGTTATGTATGTATGTATATTATGTTACGTATAATTTTGTTGGTTATATTAAGTTTTGAAAGCAACAATTAAACATCAGTTTATATCACATAACTATTCTTTTACATACACTACTACTTTTAGTCTTAAATTACTTCCGCCACAATTTCTTGCCTCAATAACTCATATTCGCAGTGTTTTATTTCATTTAATTTGTTTTATTTATATTTGCATAAGAAAAACGGTAGTGCAAATGTGTCAACAATTCAATCAATATGTGTTTATCGACATATAATTATGTATATACATATGTATGTATACCTACAATATGTTCAGGCGCAGATTTCCAAAAAACGCTTTAAGTAGTGATACAAAAATATTATATTGAGTCCCGGTCCCGAAATTTGTGAACAAATATTCTTATTTGAGACAATTTCGAGGAACTTTCTACAAAAAGTTGAAAGAACTCACAATAACATAAAAAAAAAGGCGAGAGAATCTATGTTTACTGCTTCAGTTTCATTCCGGGACAAATTTGATCACATTGTATTCCAGCCGTTTAGTCGATTCGCTGCACCTCAAGCTTTGGCATTTTAAAGACAGCTAGTGAGAGCCCTTATATTAGTCCTCAATATTTAATAGTTTGCAGATATCTTAAATGACGACATATAACCGATAAAATTAGAAGAAATCATGACAGAAACACACCGCGAAGACCACAAACCGAAACCGGGATCTACCAAAAAGTATAGCTGTCTCAAAGTCAACTGTTTGAGGTCTTAGCGTTTCATAAACCCGACATTATTTACAAAAACTCTCCATTTCATATTTCAGTATTATACGAACTATGTATATACTAACCGATATACACTTATACAGTCTATTGACAGCTTGATGGGTAAATTGAATTGTTTACACAGAGAGTCAAAGAAAAACAGAAACAAAGCGCTCGTGATGCATTTATAGCAAACAAATTTACAATATAGACATATATGTACATGAGCAGAGTTGATAGGAAATATTATATACAAAACAGAAACGCTACTTGTAGAATTAGAAACCAAACTGCCAATAATAATAAAGTTCATAGAAACCACAAGTCATTCCCACAGCCATTTAAAGGAAATTAATAACAAAAAGAATAATGTTTCTTTGATTTGTTGATAAAGTGCGTCTTAATGTTTACAATCGACTTCTTTTATAGGGGAAATTTTGGCTGCTGGTTAATTGCACAAAAACCTGTAGGAACAGCTGATAGTTTTGAATAATTAACCCATATGCTACACTCTAAAATCACAAAACATGTTATCGTTAAAGGATATTTTAGATAATATTTCACAATTCCTTCCAACAGACCTTTTGGGCGGGTGAAGCATAAGGTTCCACATTTAGTCCTAATTGGGTATAATATGACATAACCTCTAAATAACCGGTTAAAAAATAATTTCATTAATATTGGAGCTTCTTTATTGATGCGAATGGTAACAGGAGACAAAAAGTGAATCAAATACGGCAATAATACTCGAAAAAGATCATGGTACAAGCGTGGTGAAGCTCGAAAGGATATGCTGAGTATTTGATGGGATTGGAAAGGACTCATCCACTATGAGCTGCTCCAGCCTTGCCAAACGATTGATTCTACATCTTACTGTCAACAGCTGATGAGATTGAAGCAAGCAATCAAAAGAACTGATCAACAGAAAGTTCGTCTTTCATCAGGACAACGCAAGACCACACACATCTTTGATGACTCAGCAAAAACTGGGAGAGCTTGGCTAGGAAGTTGCGATGCATCCACCATAAAGCCCTGACCTTGCACCATCAGACTATCATTTGTTGCGCTCAATACAGAACTCCCTTGATGGAGTAAAGTTGGCTTCAAGAGAAGCCTGTAAAAATTACTCGTCGCAGTTTTTCGCCGAGAAACCACAAAAGTTTTACACTGATGGAATAATGTCTCTAGCGGAAAAATAGCACAAATGGTCGACCAAAGGGGTACATATTTGGTTCATCAAAGTTGATTATAAATGTTACAAAATAAGTTGACGTTTGAAGATTTGAATTAGAAATACGAAAAGACTTTTTCGACTAGCCAATATGATATTAATTGTTTCAATGTCTTGAACACTTTTGGCCCAAACAATCCTAAAATTTTATCCTTAGTAATTATCTTTATGATTAGTTTTCCTTAACTCCCTATTGTATTCCATTATTTCTATCGAACACTGTTCTCTCTTTGCAGTAAATTCTTGTTCCCACAATTGGCTGAAGCCGACGGCAAAGAAAAAACTTCAATTCCACTCTCTATCTCTCTCTCTCTCTCTCTCTACCCAAAAAGTTCTAAATAAAGGTATGCCACGATCAAAATCAATTTAACTAACACGTACATATAGTATGTTTCTTCCTATGTTTGTAGCTACGTACACAATTTTTTCCCCTACTACATGGACTCTGAATGCGCTTATAGAAGGACAATTATCGCCAGGATATTGACCTCAAAAATACTTGTTATTCGCTCTACTCCACAATGATCTATTGTCTCATTTGGCTTCTCTCCCCGCTTTGGAGATGTCTCACAGACATTTAACGATCGCGATACAGGTATTCGCAGTTTTTATAGTTTTGATTGTCGGAATTTGTGTCAATTCGGTTAGTAATGTGAAATTTCCTTCGCAATAATATCAGATATATGTATACATATTCATTTACCTCAAAAATTTTGTTATATGATATCTGATATCTTTATATGCTTATTGAACAAGAAGTAGTGCTTCCACGAGTTAAAATTTGTTTAAAATATTTGCATTTACATAAAAAGAAAGTGCTTTGGCTTCTCACAAAATCACAAATTATCAGAAAGTCCAGCATTACTCTAGTTTCTTAAACATTTTCACAAAAATCGTAACTGAGAATCAATTATCGGTCAACAATTTTTCACAATCTTTCACAATTTTTTATAAAAAATTTAATACTCTAATTCACTTTTTCTTTTTTCACTAATTTCATATATCTACTTATATATTTTCATAATGTATATTTTTAAGTTTCTATTTAATAAATCACATTGTCAAATTTCACATTTACAAAATAAAATATAATATTCTTAACGGTAATCTATTCTTTTACGTATTTGAAATTTAAAAACCGCCTTCTTCCGACTTTCGTTCTTTCAATCCTCAGGTTTAATTTATACTAAAAGATATTATATTTAACCGACCGATCAGCAGCAAGATCATCTCACTTTTCCCTTTTGTATATTTTTTCTGCAAATTCTTGGAATATTATCAGCAGATAATCAGCTATCATCTGCGTAAGCACCCTTGAAGTGCCCATACACGACACACAAGTGCGTTCGATCGGTATGTATGATCCATGTTCGCGAAAATCTTTGACTTTTACCATCGGTGTGCGCACATGTGTGTCGTGTATGGCGTTGAGTGCGCACAAAATCTCATTTCTCTCGTGTCGCTGAACAGTGAAGATCACGAATGAACAAAGGCAAGTGTTAAAGGGGGAGCCGGCTTTAGAGCCTTCAAAAAATCGATTTTTTGGGAGGGAAATAAAAAATTGATTCAAGTGAAATAGGCTTTATAGTTATATACTATTTGGCAACTTTCACAAATTTTTAGATACGAAATCTTTGATATTCTTAGGAAGCAATTGCCCGATGCATCTCGCATGTGCATTTTTCGGACGGCGGGCAGGATGCAGGTCGCAATTTCTATCATAAACAAAAAATTCTAAGAGATTAATATTTTATAATAACTGATCCTNTTATAATAACTGATCCTTTAGTTAAACTAAGAAAATTCTGAAAAAGTGTAAAATTAAAAAAAAATTAAATTTGAAAAAAGTGTTTTTTTTTTCAGAAGAAATTTTACTTAATGTTGTTTAAAAATATGTTCAAACTTTACTTTTCTTAGTTTATTTATTATAGTTTAAATAGAAGATACTTTATTGTCAAAGATAATAAACTTTGCCACATATTCCATAAGACGTCTAGTGGCCAATTAAGAAAAATCGTAAAATTAATTTTTCGCCCAAGGGCTCATATATCTGCTAGACGCTCGGTCACTATTTCCCTTCTAGATTCTATAACATTTCGAATTCCCATCTATAACTTTGGGGAGCAAAAAAAAAATCGATTGTATGGGCGATTCACACAGATCGAACGCACATGTGTGTCGTGTATGGGCCCTATTAGCCAAGATTTTTATTTTGATAATTTTCTGATCTCTTGCGTATGTTAAAAGAAAAATATTAGTATTCTAAACAACAAACAAGATATTCACTATCATTATGATCACCATAAGCATCATATATTCATCAAATAAAGTATACATTATAAGTGTTAGCCATTAGGGTTAACTAAGAAAATTTACTTATAAAAATCTTATTTGGTGCCTACAGCAAATTTTATTGCAATCTTGACTTTATTTGTCTAGTTATTCATCTGTAAGGAGAAAAACTATATACGAATTATATAACCCCCATAATATTATCGACTAAAGGAAAGTCAAAACTGCGTCAGGAGACTTAAGTACGTTAATCAGATGTTTACTCAAAAATCTACTTAATTTCACACCAGAAAAGAAAGAATGCATAATTTTAGAAAAAAATGGCTGACCCTAATAAATAAATACTTCAAACATATTGGCAAAAAAGCGCCCGGAATTTCTAATTAAATTCCCCGGGTTATTGATATTTTTTTGTATTTTGCTATATTGGTAGGATTGTCCTTAATTACTATGCCAAATATGAGCGCAATCTGTCAATCCGTTTGTTTACAGTAGCTGCTTTAGTCGGTAGACCTCAGTAGTGCGTTGCGATTTTTACAATGGATAAAAATATCGAACAATGAATTTGTCTCAAATTTGTATTTCTAACCAAATTCGGTCTGCGAACTCGCTTGGAAAAGGCTTACCTGATTCAGTTTAATCAAAAACACAAGCCTACGAGTGGTACAAAGCCTCCAAAAACGGACGAAGAGATGACAAGGGAGTTCGACATCTGTCACGAGTCCGTTCGAATGAGTTTAGTGAATATTTTGGGTATGAAACGCATTCTTGCTCGACTTGTCGTGATAAAGCTAATTTTTTTTTCAAAAACAGTACCATGAACAGGTCTCTTTGGACATTCATTGAGAGCATTATAGCATAGTCAACTAACGTACGAATTGAGGAAAAAAATCGAGCCGAAAACAAACAAACACTGTCTCGAAGGGACAGAGGATGAACAAGTAGTTCTATTTGGCTGTATTGAGGCGTTGAGAGCATTCGTTGAAAACGGCCGGAATTTTTTAAGAACAATTAATGGATTTTACATTATATAATGCACCATCGCACCGGGCCAGGATTGTGACCAAAAAGGCAATGAATGCCATCGATCAACCACAGTATTCACCAGATTTGGCTCCGTGCGATTTTTTCTTATTCCCGAAACTGAAATTGCCGTGGAACACGTATTCAGTCGATCGAAGAGATAAAAAAACATTCGCTGATGGCACTGAAGATCATCCCAAAAATTGTTGAACATCGTTGACATAAATGTATTTCATCTGGTGGGGATCACTTTGAAGGCGGCAAAATAAATATTTATGAATCATTAAATATTTTGCGTTTTATTTTTAATTTCCGGGTACTTTTTCCACTATGTTAGTATATATATGATTTAAGCAAATGTTGATAAGAAATTATAATCATAATCTGTGTTAATTTGCGATTTGTTTGTACAATATCGGCAGACAGTTACGAACAGATTGTACAACTAAATACAGAATTTAATTTCTGTCCCATATTTTAGGGCCACGTGAATTTTCGATGTCTAAATCATCATCATCATAACTCGGCTTCAGAGGTGAGATTTTGTTATAAAAGAACCTATGTATGTTTGAATGAGTTCGGACAGATAACAGAAACGCAGTGGGATACAGAGATCTGTACGTTTCGATACTTAAAAATTACAACAAAGTAGTTAGATGATCATTCTATAGCTTTTCTAAAACGATTAGAGCCCGGCTTACATGAAAAAAATACTCAAACTATAGAACTTGCCTATATTCAAGGGTTTTTCAATGGAGTCAAGAATCGAAAGAATCTTTATTGAGAGAAACTGAAGAGAAAAAGTTCAAACGACTCTAAATTTGATCGTCGTATTATAATAAATATTATTAAAAACGAACACAGAGCAGCATTTCAATTTATACGGTATGTTAGAATATAGTGTGTTGTGAAGTAAAAGTTATATCTTTTACAGCTTTCAATTTTAATCATAGCTTATTTATACATATATAACTTGGCTGTAACAACTACTTCAACATTTTTCAAGCCACGTCAATCAAGTACCTTCACATTTGCTATCTTATCATTTGTTAAAACTTATGTATATTATCAGCGTGTGGATCTCAATGAACTACTGGTAACCCGTGGAAAAAGTAATCATATGTATGTGCTTGTTGTGCTTAACACCTTTCAAGTGTCTGTCTGAGAGCTTTAATGATATTTCGATGGCATTCTGGCTAAAATGTAAGGGTTGCCAACTAGTGATTTTAGTGCGAGAAATTTAAAACACTTTCACGGTGCTTAGGTATAAATAAGCAAGCGAGTTTTTGCTCTCATTATTTTATACTCTTTAAAAAGTATAACATGCGATATATTTGCTAATTATCTTAATACATTTGAAGTTAAATAACAAAATGTTTGGAAAAATAGACCTCTAGACAGATAAAAGCAGAGTGGAACGATTGTCACTCGACAGAAGAGACTGTAGGAACATGATGTGAATACTAATTAGTCATTATCTGTTGGCGACACGTACGAAAGATGGGGGGGAAAGATGGATTACCAGATTAACCTAACCTAACCTATAAGAACGTTAATTTGTTGTTAATCGAGACGATTAGCCCAAAAAAGAGGTGAAGCTTACAAAAGTGGGAAATATGAGAAGGGGCAGGAAGAATTGTCAAAAAAATGCACTTTCATAAACCTAAACCAAAATTATTTATAATTCAGTAAAATCAAAAATAATAAATTTGAGCACTATGAGCCAAAGTTTGGATTGTTCAAAAATATATTTATTTACAGTTATGCAGACTTACATTTTGAGTGTCACTTAAGCATAATATTTATCTTGATAATTAGCAGATTTCAGAAGAAATCGTGTAAAAGCAAGTCGACATAAATATGAAAACAATTTGGCAAAAAAAAAAATGAAATAAACAAATCAACTGAATGAGCTAAGTGGAGCTTTTACGTCAGTATTTATGAATGTAAAAATGTTTGCAAATGTGTAAATATGTGCGCATACTCCACTCCAGCGTATTGACATACTCAATTAAGCGACCAATTTAACAAATTAAAGCGTCTGTATTTTATAAGGGTGTTAACTCCGACTGAGTCACAGCGATCACATGCGATTTGGTCATTAAAGCCGATCAAATAATAAGAGATGAATACTTAAGCATATGCTTATATTCCATAAGAGAAGTAAGATGTACTAGAGTGTAAATTTAATGCAATATAGCACTAACAATTGAAGTTAATGGGGGAAAGTCTGCATTCTCCAGCAGATAATAGCGTTTGCCGGGGAACTGTCAACGACCACTCGAGTGCAGTTTGTACTCATAAGTACTTACATTCTTATCCATTATTAATAATAATAAAGCGAGTAATCTGACTTTTTAACTGTACAAATACTTAGCCGCCCACATACTTAAGGTATTTAAGTGTGAAACTGTTAATTTATGCACTTAAGATTAAAAGAAACAATTTACTGTTGTAATATATGTAATTCATAAAAGGTTATTGGTGTGGTTGTTTACATGTTTTTATATTTGAGGGACTTCAGTTAAGTATCTTAAGTACTTGTTAAAGTACTACTTGTCACTAGGAGCCGTCCGAGCGAGCGATGCGTTCCGAAGA